TCCTTGGTGAGGATTAACAACAACAACAAAAAAAATAGTGGTAATATGTTACCACAAAATAGCCAATGTTATTTTTTACATGAAATATTTTATTTTTAAACTTTAGCAGAATTAAAGATGAGTTTTATTTGCATGAAAGTAGAGTCTCCTCTTTAAGATACACAAAATACTTTAAGTTGTGGACTGTTACTGCAATAACTACTAATGTCATGATAGATTTGTTCAGTCTCATTAAAAAAACATTCCAAACTCTTAAGTTTAAAATAGAAATCTTAATTTTAACTGTATATTGTCAAAACATTTACATATCCCCCAAAGTATCGCTGCATGCCATTTGCAAATATTTAGCATCAAAACTACCTAGAATTAGAGACATTAAATTTCAGCAAAAGCTAAATAATTATAAGTCTTTGCAATTTGTGCAAAGCTTTAACTTTAGTGTGCTTTCACATATCTCATTTGATTATCAGAGCTCTGGGTGACAAATGTTATTCCCCCAACTTCGCAGATAAGGAGCCTGAGGCTCAAAGGATTAATTTCCTTCCCTTTTGGAGTAAGATATATCAGAGCGGGTGATTTGACCAAATTCACACAGCTGGCAAACTCTAGAACAGGTCTTATGCCTAGACTTTCTGATTGCTGGCCAAAGATTATTTGCATGTCTATCTTTAAAATCATCTATAAAAGCTTAAACACACAGATTCTAAACTCAAAAGAGATAATTATGAGGGATATGTTCTCAGCAGACAAGGGCATGCATTCTCCTACGTAATCCTATATAATAAAAGGGCACTATGCAAATCGACCGAATGGCGGAACAACCGGTCCCTATAATGCACACTGACCACAGGGGGCAGACGCTCAATGCAGGAGTTGCCTCCTGGTGGTCAGTGCGTTCCCACAGGGGGAGCACCACTCTGAGGGCTGGTGAGTACAGCGGCGGTGGCGGGAGCCTCTCCTGCCTCCATGGAAGCGCTAAGGATGTCCAACTGCAGCTTAGGCCCACTCCTCATAGGCCTAAGCGGTCAGTCGGACATCCTCCCAGGTCTCCCGGACTGCTAAAGGGTGCAG